GATAAAACATTAACTGCAGAAGACATCAGAGAAATGAAATATTTGGAATGTGTCATAAAGGTTTGTGTTAATCATATTTAGTAAATATGCTGTATATCAGTCATGAGCAACCCGCGACCTTCGAGGTCGTAATTTGATGCCCTGGGACTTTGTCAACGTAATTTTACTTCTTTGTTTTTTCTCTCGTGCCATTATGCGTTCATAGTTAAGCAGTTACAAGAAATTTTCGTTAATTCGAACTCTAATCTGGTCAAGATGGTTTTGCTTTTAAAGTAACACATTTTCGGGTGTTACCTTACATATGTACTATCCCTTTTTTCTCTTATTTCATAAAATACGGTTGGGTTTCGGGATTGAAAGATTGGGCTACAAGTAACAAATTGAGATATTTGTAGGTCTCTAGACTACTACGTTTGGGCGACTTACTACTTTTTAGGGCCACTTTAAAAATAATTTAGACTACATTTCCAGGAATTTTGCTTTACTTTCTATAAAACCTATCTGGAGACCTATGATGTTCTCACTGGACCCGTGCCGTCTACCTTCATTTTATTTATATTATTATTAATTTAAATTAATTAACGAAAATAGTGTTCTGTATATGTGGCCGTATTCCATTTCGTTAATAAATAACATCAATTACATGGTAGTTTGTACAGAAATATGTAAATCGCGAATATTTCGTCCCGTGAATTTCGAAATAACGAGGATCGTGATGTTATGCTGGTCATTACAACGTGACCAGCATAAAGATGAAATAAACTATGTACAGTATTTCTAATTAGCATATAATATTTCAGTAGCTAATGCACTGGAAGTTATCATATACGTTGGTATTTAGCAGGCTTAAAAACTTGCAACTCCGTAAGAAAAAATACATGGGACCCACCGAAGTCTATGAAGTTTATTTGCGACCCGCATCGGGAAAAGGTTGCTCGTCATTGCTGCATATCCTAATATTAGTCCAAAATTCCGTTGTTGTCTTTGATAAAGGTCTATTATGTTAAAGTTGGAAAAAGTTTAAATTTGTGACTTTCTTTATTTATTTAATCGTAACAGGTTCTAAGTTATTATCTTCTTTTCACGTATTTCAAAAGAACATATTTCTCCATGAGCTATTCCACGTTTTTCTGCTATTTATTAGAAGGTAGTAAAATGCATAATAATTAAATAATGATATGTAATTTTTCTATTATTGTAAGAATAAACTATATGTTATGACACACCTTCATGTTTTCATTTATTTCTGACAGGAATCACAACGAATTTCTCCATCCGTACCAATAATTGCACGTTCGTGTACAGAAGATTTCAAAATCAGTAGGTTTCACTTAAGTAAGAATATAATAATTAAGTTAATGTTTAAAAATATATTAATTACACTTACAATTTATAGAAAACTATACGATTCCTCGAGGTACAACTTTTAGTTTATTTATTTATGCATTACATCGCGATCCGAAAGTATTTCCCAANCTTCTATTATACTATTTTAGATGCGGGTTTTTGCGCTTTTGATTGCGTTTTAATAGGGTACGTCAAGAGAATGTACACTAAGAAAAAATTTTTCGAAAAATTTTCCCCCACGGGGGAAGTGTTATACATTTATAATAGATACATTTTGAGCCACAACAAGGTGTGGCGGGGTCTGCTAGTTTTTAATAACTGAAAATATTTTATTTTTCAATTATATACTACTATATCATTTATTTGTATACTGTACTTCCTTCTCTGAATAGCTGCTGAGAAACATGTTTAAATGCAATTATAAATAGGCATTTCAGTAAACATTAATATGATTGAGAACACAAGATGTCTCATTATAAGAACTGCTGCAATTTCTTCTGAATAACTCTGAACAGCATATAACCTGCATTTCTGAAGTGTTCTTAAATAATAATATCTTTATGTAAATATTGTTTGATTTTTATGTTAAATAATAATAATTAAATATATAATAATAGTAACCAAAGTAAACATATGAAGATAATTATGGAAAATTATACTAAAATCATGCATACAAGGTGTGTCTACTAAGTTTACAAGAGACTGAATTATATATATATAAAAGGTTTTTGGCAGAAATGATTTAATTCACAGTAAAGTCAGTCTTCAAAGTACACTCTGTGATCTATACAAATTTTTGCACACACCAGCAATTTATGTATTCTATTGTAAAAATATATTTTTGAAATGCTATTTAGTTCCCTCATTACAACCTCTTGGCTTTCTGAAATTCACTGAAATTGCCTCCCTTTTAAAGCAAATTTTAACTTAAGGAACAGGAAATAGTTAGCTGGGGCAAGTTCTGGCAAGTCTCAGCTGACCACTTCCTGTTCTTTAAATTAAAATTGCTTTGAAAAGGAGGCAATTTTGGAAATCTAAGAATCTGTAACAAGATAAATAAAAAGCTAAGTTAGTAGAGAAATCAATCGCATATTATGAATGTATTACCTGAAGAAGGCCAAAATAGGTTAAAAATGTTTATAATTAAATGTGTTTGCTAGAGTTAAAAGTTTGTTTTCATTTTATTTAGTTCCATTAATGCATCAATTAAACAATCAAATAACATCACCATCTTGTAACTTCTGTCTATACATTTCTACAGTTGTTCTCTACACCTGTTCACCCATGCAACACTATAGCTCATTTTTATTATTTGTATCATTTTTATTTATATATTTTTATGTAATAATTTATTACTTGTCTCATATTTATTGATTTTCTGCAATTGCCATCCATTATCTTGGTCAAAAGAATGTTCCTTTAAATTTTCATTCTCAATGCTCCAAGAAGAAGTTTGCAATGTCACAATTGAAAGTATTTCAAACTTGATTTTATGTGATGTTGATGTGAGTTTTAACATCTGTTTCAAATTATCACATTTACTATTTAATGATTGTGATGTGTGCCTCCACTAATCTTCATGAGTTTACAATTGCAAGCTAAAATTGGCAAATAACCTACAGATGTTTTGACTTCTAAATACAGGTAATCAGTGAATTAATCACAGAAAATTATGATGATAATCAAGAAATTTAAATTGTGAGACCAATGAGTGAGACAAAGACACAAAATCAAAAATAGATAAAATAAAATACAATAATTTTATTAACTCGCTCATTATGATACAGGTTTCTAAGGATACCAACAATGCTACACCCACCGAATAATTCACACAATTAATTATTCAACCACCGTACAATATAGTCTCCTGACAAAGAATGTGCACATGTAGTCCTTTGTCCGACACGATTATCCAATTACTTAAAATTATATTAATTAAAACTAGATTCCTATTACTACTAACAACTATTGAATAAAGAAGGCTTATTAGAAAATTTAGAGAATGAAAGTAAGGGATAGAAAAGAGGGTACCCAAAACTTGATGAGGTATGCTGCTTGTATGGGATCGTGGATGAGATCTCTTGTTGGGTTGGTGACTAACTCCACTTTTGTCTCTCTCCAAGATAATAGTTCGAAGGGCCGATGTGTCTTGTTCCTCACAATTAATTCCTTTTTATTTCTCATTTCCAAGGTTCTCGTCTTTACCATAAGATGCTAAACGTACTGGGGAGACTCCGTTTTGCTCTCTCTCCTTCGGATTCCTGCCTCAGAATGACCCACGTGTTCGCCTACTTCCCCTCAGGGCTGCATTCCACTTCTTTGTTTCTGGGGTTAGTCATCCACATACCAAAGCAAAGGGTAAAACGAGAACATTCCAGGAAGGGTAGACAAATAGGACAGAAAGAAGGGAAGCGGAGAATATACAATATAAAATAATACAATTATATACAAAATATACAATTTAAATATGGCGTGTATCGTTACATTCCAACAGCATTAATTAGTGGGATGTACAGTACATTGAGCAGTTTTATGTATTGTTAACAATATTGTTTATCATCCTGTCATGACAACACTCTTTTATTCTGTTAGTGTGTGAAATGTAAAATATATATAATTTTCATTTGTTTCATTTGTATATTAGCTGAAGATTATTTATGACTTAATTATTATGAAATAAAAAGGGTTTAATTTTGAAGGTAGGGATGAGTTTTATAAAAAAAATTGTAAATAGTAATAACGACTAAAATCGTTATTAAGTCTGACCCTACTGGAAATGTACGATCCCGAGGGGATGGGGAGGGGATCCCCATCCCCTCGACCTTTAATCACCAAAATTTCTGAAAATTTGCAGGGAGGTTGTTTATTAGCCAGATTTATGTTTATGGCATAAATCTGGCTAATAAACAACCTCCCTGCAAATTTTCAGAAATTTTCGATAAAAAGCACAAGAGTTACAAAGAAGGTAAAGGAAATTCTCCCTCTGAAGCTTTAAAGTAAAAATTCGTTTGTAAGAAGTTGTTACATACGTGCCACATCCTACAAACGAGTTGTGTTCTGTTAATTTTAGGTGACATGCTAGTCACAAAAAGTTAGCAGTAATAGAGTATGCTTGTAAGAGTCATACACGTACTGTACAAGCTACAACCTCGACATAAGATATTTTTCAAGCCGTTTAAAATTTACGTTTGCTTCAGTGCAGTATAGATGAAACGAAATCCTGTGGCAAGGATTACGTATTATGACATTGCTGCACTTGTAGATTTCTCCTTCGTTAAAGCAGGTAGGCTCGAAATAGCCAAAAACATATTTAAATGCACAAAAATTTATCCTCTTAATCGTGACATTTCCAGAAATTTAGACTTTTTTACACTCTTTGATGGCCTATATTGAGCATGGACCAGCACTAACGGAAAATAATGTCAATCAGCCATCTGCCAGCCGTGTCACGCCGCCTATTTCTGAACCAGCACTTTCAACTATCACCACTGATTTGTTGAAACAGTTGTCATCTCTACCTGATGCCGCTAAAAAGCATCTTGTGACGCGCTTACAAAAAGCATAGAAATATGAATTTTTGGCTTGATTTATTTGTTTTACGGTAACGCGGCACATAGGCAGTCTGCGAGGGGGATGCCTCCCGGGAGGACTTTTATGAGAAACTATTTGGATGTTACTAACGTGAAGAAAACCCGGAAAACTCCACGTGACCAGCCCGTTGGCGAGGCGCATGTGAGGTTTTGGCATCATCTGTATAGAAAAATAACAGAAAATAAAAGTTTAAAAGGTAAAAAAAAAACTAAAAATAAAACTAAACGCTGAAGATTTAGCCTGAATACTCAATATGGTTAAAGTTCTAAAACTTTGTTTTGAGTTTGAAAATACCTGTAAACGTTTTAGTTCATTAATTATAATTGCCTTACAGTCCCTATTTCTAATTTATTTTTAATTGTCTACTTGGACATTACTCATTAATAGGACTTTACACTGGTGTTTAAAATTGACACAATAATTAGAGTTAGTTCAGAAAAAACATATTTTCTTTATTAAATTAAATCAGCTGCAGTAGTAACTTTTACTGTATACTTGTTCAAGTAGACAATTAAAAATAAAAAAGTTTTAGTTCATTATTTTATATCTTCTTATGAGTTTTATTTAAATATCCTGGACTACCTACACTTTCCTTGATTAAGTAGACCTGCAAATTATAGTAGATGAACTTTCGACGGAAAAAAATGACATGGCTACAAAACAAAACAAAAAAACACTTCAAGGAGATTCGTTTCAATGGATAATAACTTAGTAGCTATGCCTTAAGGTCATCTAGCAAAAATTTCATTTAAATTTCATATCTCGAGATATAGGCCAACTTAAGTTGCATAATTAGTAGCAGAGGCGCAATTAACTGCACCAACCTTATTTTAGTATTATTTTATAAAGAAAGTGAATTATTTTTCCATTCAAATTCATATTTTTAAAGTACGTATATATTATGATAATGAATTTTTTTCTGTTGCGTATTCAATTGACGTGATTTATCAATTGACATTTTATTTATCACGATTGCGACTTTTATATTAATTTTATAAATTATTTAGAAATTAATTTTTTTTTCAAATTATTAAAAATTGTTTCGTTATTCTAACTGCAGTAAAATCGATAATAATTTATTCAAATTTTTTCTCTTGAGGCAACTTATATTGTTTGTGACTACGTAACATATTGGCAAGTTTTCAATGACATACTTCTATATTTTTGTCAGTTCAAAAATGTGTTATTACAAGTAAAGGAAGTCCTGTTTCGATATTATGTTTAGCCTAGCTGACTGGGATAGATCTTTCAGGTTACTGAAATAGAAAATAGTCGTAAAAATTTTGAATAGATTTGATTTTCTAAGATCTGAGTTTTGTTTTTAAAAATTTAATAACGAATTAGGTTAAAAGTATGTAGTTACTAGAAAAAGAAAAGGCAACATTTTGCAAGTGTTCTTATCTGATATTATGTAGAGTAAGGTCATTTTTCTTTATTTTCTTTTTGATCAGGATAACAGCAACACTTCATATCGTCACGTTACTTCATTCAAGATGTTGATTTGGAGCGTATTATTATTTCTTTTCGCGCTAATAATTTTATGGAGATATGTTTTTAAAATAATTAAACTTAGGAGAAAATTATCTTCATTTCCTGGACCTAAGATGGATAATTTTCTTCTAGGAAATTATAATCTTTTCTCGACAAAAGGAACGAACATTCCTTTCCATATCCGTAAGTAGGTCATTTCACAATAATTATTTATACGTTTTATCAAATTAAATTGATAACGAATATTTCTATTAAAATAATAATAAAATTTTATTATATTCTTATAATAATTATAAACCGAAATAATTTTAAAATATTAAATAACAACATATGTTATAAACAACTCCAGTATCTTCTGCAAAATGAGTTAAGTTACAGTATATTTAATTGTTATATAATAAATTCAAGGATTACATTTTTTATTATTAACTCTTTTAGAATGAATCCAATTATTATTAATTTATTTATATTCAAAGTATTTATCTCCGCATTAATATAGAATTAAGATTCTAATTGAATCTATTCGCTTGAATTTATCTATTCTGTTTTAAACTATTGTTTTTAAATTCTTTTAATTTATTTTCTATTTTCATAATTCCGAATTTTAAAGCATTAAATTGATTTAAAATAGTGGAATTACTTGCCTGAATCAATTGCGTAATTTATTTTAGAACCTTCTTAGACGATATTTCCTCATTATAATTTATTTATTCTAGTTTAATTGACAAGACTATGTCTTGTTTATAAAATCGTACTGCCTGCTGTATACCAGCTTAGAGGTATGAAGGAGTACATGTCGAGTTGCAATTTGGCACAGAATATTAAGTGCCCAAATCACGCGCGCATAAAAAATCCAGACTTATAGGTACTCAGGGGACCGAGAACCGAGTCAAAATAAAGTACAAAATGGCTCTCTCTACAAACAGGTAAACCGAAGTCAGGTGGTGAGAGTACTACCCACAGTCGTTCTAGGAAGTGAACGACTGTGGGTGGAAGTACAGTACGTGCGACTAAATATCTAGATGGCACAACAACGCGCTGATTGATCAGCTGAATGACGTCAACCCATCGAAATAGGAAATTCTGGTCGATCATATTTTGTGGTCGTCAGAACGAAGTCATGCCGAAATAGATTATTTTTTTAGTTGTAATATGGAGTGAGTATAAATTGAAAATACAGTATAAAGTTTAGCTTGCATGTTTTCTTAAATTTATAGGAATAATTTTAAAATGGTTTACTTTTACTTAATAAATTAAATACAAGTTTCTGTAAGGTTAAAAATACTGTATTGTCTAATAAAGAATGTAAAAACAAAAAACTTAATCTGCAATGTACATTTGTTGTTTTTGATTATTTTATTATTATAGTAAATGTACAAAAAAAAGCTTTATTGAAATGCAAAACAGATAAAAGTTACTTCTTGATGTTTAAACTCTCTCAACATTAAAATCTTTGATATCACGTAATTTAGTTTAATTGAAAATTTTGCAATAATTTTAACATTAATGTCAATACACACAAGAGCTAATGAAATTATAAATAAGTGTAATCAGTTTAAATAAATAAGTGTATCAAGTTTTAGATGAAATGTCTATAACTATAATGTCTGCCTGCTCTCACAACAACAACAACAACAACAACAACAACAATACAAAGTTTTGGCTAATTGATCAACATTTCCGATTTCAGATTTCAGTAGGTTGACGTCATTCAGCCGACCAATCAGCGCTTTGTGCCATCTGGATATTTAGTCGCACGTGTGGAAGTGAACGACTAGGGTCAGAGTTCTAGAACTCTGACCCTAGGATTGAGCACGTAGTATTTTCTTTGTTAAATAAAATTTGTAATCTAATTTTGTAAATTTGGGAGTGCTCCAAATGACATTAAAACAGGGTTTTATGTCGTTACAAGTAGTTTTTTTAACATTATCTAGTATTGTAAAATCGTGGGACCGATAAAAATTTGACGTTATATTAGGGTTGTCGTTACATCCGATGACGTTATAATCGGGTTAAACTGTATATTGTTTGTGCAAAATAAAAAAAAATATAATTTCGGACGATACAATAGCCACGATTATTTTTTTTAAAACGGGAAATTTTCGTTATTGTAAGTTCGCCGACTTCCTGGGGGAATCATTAATCCCACGTCAGGATAATCTAGGGTCGTTCGCGTGTGGGTGTGGCGGAGGAGACACAGATGACAAGAATCTCATAAAACCCCGTTTATTTTAAACGTAAAATAACTTATACTATGAAACAAAAATGTTCTTTAAACAATTGGATGTTCGAGTTGTCGAGGGTGTTTTCAAATGTTGATTGAAGGTAGGCCCCTGGGCAACGGCAGGTGTGGAGATTCGTCAGTCGGTGTCGGCGGTCCGTAGTCACAGGTTACAAGTTGGGCACAACAGACGGAAAACTGCTTTTGCGCGTTGACTAACCGTGTGCAGGTGCACAGTTGCATAGTTTTCGGAAAGTGAGTCTGTCCATGAAGATCGGGCATTATATCAATCTCCGTTCTTTGTTTTGTTTTCTTCTGATTGGCTCCACGTCCTTTTTTTTTCTCGCTCCCCGATTGGTCCAACGTCCGTCTCTAAGCGAAAGACGATTCCTGTTCGAGTCACCAGAAAGATCCGCTTTGAAGAATCTACTTGACACCATCCGTTACTCTGGATGCAAAATGTTGATGGAACTTTGAAACTTGCGCTCATATTTTCCACCATTATTGTCTAGTCCGTGACGTTTTTGAAATTTAACGAACCGACGCGATGTCCCTTTTCGTCATTAACCTTTCCCCTTTTCAAAAATTTCTATGTTCTAATTATTTGTAGATGAGCGACTTGTCAAAGGTCCATCTCTACTGGAGGTCGTTCGTTTACAATTATTAATCATTTATAATTATTGCGTTCTGTTTACATCAATAGCGTTTTTTTCCCTCTCGTCGCAGTTTCATATGACTAGCACAACTAATCCGATCTTTGATCGGTTTTTAACAATGGACGATTTTTCTAGTTTCGTTTTACCAAATTACTATAATAAATCTTTAATATCAACCTGTTTTTGGGACCTCACATTATCGACAAAAATTCAACCCGGGCCGACACGCAACGGAGAGAAATTTCGAAATTGGATAGGTTAATTTCATCGAAAATGCATCGTGGACGACCTCGTGGTGGTGGCCGGCGAAATTTGAACGATCGCGCCCAAAAGCAGCGATACCAAAGAAGATTGAAGAATGAGAACGAGACCCGCCTTGAGCGTCAAAGTGATTCCTCTTAGTAATGAATCTCCGAGACATAGTCTTGTCCCAAATACGGTTTTGCCGTTTTACTTGTTTCATATTGTTTTCTGAATTATTTTTCCACTGTTGTATTTCTCCTGTAGATAGATTTTTGACTATTCCTATTGTTTCATTTAATAAAATTAATTATTACTTTTATTTTTTAAATTTTATTTTAGTAATTTAATCAGAGCTTTCAAGAGCTCGTATAGCCTGCTGTTATGCATACATAACAAGGGAAAGTATTGGAATTGTGTCAAATTTGACCCTCCGGCTATTTGTCAAATCACATTTTGAGATTTCATGAACCCAAAAAAAAGTAAAAAATATAAATTGACAAAAAATTCCGCCGATATGTATATATGTGCGTATGTGTTGGCGTGTATTATGTGTTATCTTTTAGAGTTGTATGTTATTTTTATGAATTTTTTTATATTTTGAATAAATATATAATTATGTGCGGTTTTTTTATAAATTGTAATACATAACAAATAAAAAACAAAATAATATTTTATAAATTTTAAACAAAAATATTATGTTCGGGCACTTAAAAAGGAAGCGAATTCTGAAAAGGTTGAGAAACACTGTCCTAAACGAACTCAGTTAAAACAACCGACCCAACAATTGTTAACATACTACGTAATTTTTACAATATAATAAATTAAATATATTTTCATTTTTACATACGTTAACTATATAAAAAATATGTAATATATATTTTTTAGAATATACGATAACGTTATTATCCTTGGCTACACTTTATCGAGAACATGGATTATATCGTCTTTGGGTATCTGTTGATCCTTACGTGGTTCTACTTTCGGCAGAATGTTTTGAAGTTAGTCATCTGATATTATTATTTTTATGATTAAAATTATAAAGATGTGATTATATGAGCTAATGTAAATTTAAATATAATTATGTGTAAATAGATTTTTTAATGTGTTANTGAGTAATTCATCAGCAATCGAATAAACAAAAAAAATTCGGAAAAAAGCACGTTCGAATGGCAGTTACAGTATGTCGCTCACAGCCTACATACTGTCTGGAATAGGGAACTCCTGGTACCGATAGCTGTCTCGATACTTTAAAACGATGGTTTTTTAGTCGTACGCGATTCCAGCGCTTTATAGAAAGTTTCCGATTAGTTTACTCGATAAAGGAACGTTAATTACTTTATTTAAATTAAAATTGCAGAGAGTTTATAAAAATACTGTATCAAAACCACATTCGAGTCGAACAGTTCGACAAGTTCAAGTTAACGAATCTAATTTAACATGTAAAAACCTTGTGCTGAACAATTGGGGAAAAATTGATTTGGAGTAAACGCGATTTCGAATTAACCCAGTTTGAGTTAACCAGGTTCCACTGTAATACAAACAAATTTGAATAAATAATTTACTATTTTTGATAATTTTGTTAACAATTATTTATATGACAGATAATTTATAGAATAATGATCTTTTAGCCCATTTTAAACAGTCACTCGTTAATAACTAAAGCAGATGCATATAAACTTCTCCATTGTTGGCTTGGAACAGGTTTATTAACGAGGTAAAATATTATTCTTTAAATATTCTACTTAATAAACATATAAAATAATAATCAGTTAATATATTTACAATACGGCGTAATTTGATATTTGTTAATTGTAGTTAACAATTCAGCTAATTTAAAGTAGTATATATACATACAGTAGGCCTATATTACATTTTTAATAGTAATACTAATTTTTAATAACATAGTACTGGTAATAAGTGGAAAATCAGAAGAAAAACGATTACTCCGACATTTCATTATCGAATTCTTGATCAATTTCTTCCCACATTCGATAAAAATGCAAAGATATTCGTTAAAAACCTTGAAGAATATGAAAGTGAGGATTGGATAGACATCTTACCATTAGTTACTCTTTGCACTTTGGATGTAATTTGCGGTAAGAACAATAAAAATAATTATCAAAATTATTGAATTTAGTATAATTGAATTTAAAACTCTTGTTATTACAGAGACGGCGATGGGAGTTGAAATAAAATCACAAAACAAACACTGCATGGATTATATTGAAGCTCTGCAAGTGTATGTATTATTTTGAAAATGCAATTAAATTACAGTAGAGCGTCGTTTATCCGAAACGTCGGTTATCCGAAAGCATTCCAGTCGGCAAATTTAAATTTTCGCTAGTGCCGTGGCGCTGCAATCTTTGGCTATATCTTGGGCTACTCCAATATTTTTTTGTTGGTGTGTTTGTTTTAGCTGGCAGCACTGGCACTATTGTGTGATGTTTTTCTGAGGACTGTGTGTCGTGTTTAGTCGAACGTTTTTGATAGTAGATCAACTTCTAATGTACAGTCGACCCTCCTATAACGTAGCGAAAAAATTGTAGCAACATATGTATAAAGGAGCTCCCAAAACGTCGTCGCCGACTCGTTTCGCGCCAAGATTGATAGAATCTGGACCAATAGTGGATGAGCAGCCGAACTACTTTCCTGCGCCATGCTACGGAGCAGCTAAATTGAGTTTGCTATCGTCTGTACAGTATTATATATAAATTATATATAAATTAGGTACTGTATATATAATTATATATTAACTTATTGTAACTTTATTATAATTACAGTAGACCCCCCTATAACGCTTAGATACGTTCCACGCTAACCGAAAATTACGTTGTAGGAGTGAGCCAATCGCAGCCCGATAGGTGGGAACTTTACGGACTAAGGCTGTTCGAAAGGTTTTCTTCTATAAAATTAACCGATTCTAGACTAATTCCACTCAACATTTCCAAAACACGTATAATTTTTTGGGAATAATCTGTATAAACTATGCTATAAACAAAAAATTGTAGGATTACTTACACCGTTCGACTACGCCGTTGCTTAAAGCTGGTTTTCNCACACTCGGTAAGTAATCCTATAATTTTTTGTTTATAGCATAGTTTATACAGATTATTCCCAAAAAATTATACGTGTTTTGGAAATGTTGAGTGGAATTAGTCTAGAATCGGTTAATTTTATAGAAGAAAACCTTTCAAACAGCCTTAGTCCGTAAAGTTCACACCTATCGGGCTGCGATTGGCTCATGTATTTAATCATTCCTACAACGTAAAATTCGATTAACGTGGAACGTATCTAAGCGTTATAGGGGTGTCTACTGTATATTTTTTCTGGTTTTTATATTTTTCAATATATTTATTTTATTTGTACAAAATAAAAAATTAATTTTTAAGGATACGATAGCCACGATTATTATTTTAAAAAGTTTTCGTTAGGCTTAACATCGACGAAAATTCAACGCGAAGCGATACGCAACGGAGAAAAATTTCAACACGGGATAGGTTAATATATTTTTCGTACATAATCGGTTATCCGAAAAATAAGTTATCCGAACAACCCCATTACCCAATTGATTCGGATAAACGACGCTCTACTGTATTAAGTTCAACAGAACTAACTCCATTAAACATTGTTTTAAACTTTATATAATGATTTTTTTCGTAACATTTGTAATTGGATTGGATCGTGAGTAGTAAGTAATAGATATTAGTGGAGGGGATGAGAGCAATAACGGCATAGCCCAATTATTAGATAAAATGAGATATTTAAGGAAAAAGGAAGTGCAATCATTTTGTAATACAGTATAATGAAAAAATAATAACATGGTGTTAGTTAGTTTTTTTTCCTATTAATCCTTAAGTCTTGAAAAAGATCCTAATTGCGATTCAGTAAGAAAATAATGGTATACAAATCAAAATAAGAAAAAAAATTCAATATTTTAATTTTAGATTTATTCTGAAATACAAAATAATTGCAATTGCAATAACGAAACATTATTTTCTTCTTTATAAATTCTGATTATGGAAAGTCGTTTCTTTAATATTTTCTTTATTTATCTCATTGTTCAGTCATCAACTGTAGCTGATGCTACCAAGCACCAAAAATAATAATTGCAATAAAGTTTAAGCGAAGAATATCACTAAAGACTCTAATCTTTATTAATCTTTATCAATATTGTTATACAGATTACTGTAAATCAAAGGAAAAAGTTATGGACAGCAATAATATAACAACAATATCACCTCGTCAGCAATCCCAATTAATATAAATACTTTAAATAATTGAATACTTTGAACTTTTTATAGGTTATGCTGCTATTGTACTCAGTTCTTTAGTTATGATTTACTTAACTAATTACTTGTGTAAAGAGAAACGATTTTTAGACTCTGCTGCTACATTCCGAACTGAGGTATTTGTCCAATATATATAGGGTCAATCAGTAGCCAAGCGGTCCGTTCCCTGAACACTGGGAGTTTGGTCGTGGATGACCACGTGGAATTTTTCGGGTTTTCTCCACGTCCGTAACGCCTGAATAGGGACCAGATATCTTTAAAAAGATTTTCCGGAAGGCATCCCCTCTAGGCAGATCGCCCAAGTATTGCGTTGCCGTAACTTAACAAACAAACAAGTATATATATGGTTACCATATTGTGAAACCGTAAACCAACTCGGTGTGCGTTACTAAGTCTGAAGTCAAGAAAAAATTCATAATCTATACTTTTGGAAGCCATGTGACTTAATAAATTATATTAAACTATTTCGTATGCAAATGTCATTAAGCGGATTTAAGAAATGCTTAGTAGTAGAGAATGCTAAAAAATTAATGTGGCTTATATAAAGCAAAGGTTATCCATATCTTTTAATCACTGTTGAACTTATGTATGACACTAAATTTAATTCCTTATAAACAAGTTACTATTGTGCATTAATTAATTAAGTAAGTAATTACTTCAATGATAATCTAGATAAATAAACTCTAGATTATTATAAATAATGAACATATAACAAAAGTTAAAGCTATAGCTCATCCACATATGGCTGTTAATGAAAATCAGAACCGAAACCGTAGTCAAAATCGTATCGAAACCCAAAACGCGAAGAGAAAAATGATGCTAAACATAATATCCGAAGTGGAAACACTACTCAAATGTTAACATAATTGGTAGGCAGCCAACTTTTAAATTCTAAATGTAACACTAAGCTGTTACTAGAAAAAATCTAACATTTCTATGTGAGATATTATAAGAGTAAAAAAGAACATACAATCACTGGAAATTTGAAGCACTATTTGTTTCTTAATTTAATTATATTCATAAAAAACAATTTAATAAAAACATTTTATTTTAATTACAGGTTTTCTAACATACATTTAGAAAGATTTATGAGACCATGGTTATTTTACGATTTTATTTTTAATCGCTCATCTAATGGGGCTAAATTAAAAAGAACTTTATCTGTACTTCATGGCTTAACTAAAAAGGTAAAAAAATATTTTTGTTTTATTTTAAAATATATTTATGATTTTATATTATATTATTGAAAACACTTATTAAGCCTCTACCTTTAGTCTATAAAAATCACATGACTTCCAGTCTGAACCGGAAGTTCGTATATAGTTAATCTGGATCTCAGGTCTCTAAGCTTTCCATATTTGGTCTGAATTTTAATGTCCTTCCCTGTACATCATACTTCAGATAATCGAGTCATGCGGTCATCATTCTAACTCCGTTCTGGAGAAAAATTTTTAATTTGAAATCACGCGACTTCCCGTTCAGTGAGGAAATTCCTATATAGTTAATTGCAGCTCAGTCTTTAAATGTTTCCTGTCTGGTCTCGATTTTTATCTCTCTTAATCCGTTCCCAAGATTAATGGACAGACATCAGACAGGATGTAGTATAGTACACAACAGTGTGTATATATATGGAATTTGAAAATTTTACTTAAACTTTAAGACAATTTGATCTAAATATTTAAAAACAATTATGACTTAACAGTTATAATAATATTATAACTGCACTTGTATATTATTTGTTTAATACGATTTTAAACGTTTTACTTAACTAAAATAAATTTGACAATTCTTGCATAAACAACTAACAGAAACTGTTCTACGAGAATTAATTTAAAATTGAATCCTTTCTAATCAAAATAAAATAAACTTTTTTGCTATTCATTACGTCTACGATTCTTACGAACAGAATTATTAATAAAAATTTACAATTTTGGTATTTTGTAAGATTCATTTAATTTGAATAAAAGAAAAAAATCTCTTATTCACACTCAGATTCTTTAACAATATAACATCAACACACCTTAATACTGAGAACGCACATTTATTCAGCTAAAGAAACGTTTTCAACCCATTTCATGGGCCATCATCAGGTTAAAGACGTTCGAATCAATGGCATTTTCGAACACGTTCAAATTTAAATTATATTAGAATATATGTTGAAATTAAATTACGTAAACAAGCATAACGAAATTAATAAAATAAATAATGAAAAACAAAATAATATAAAAAGGAATACAAAATACGGTAATTTCCCACAATACAATATGTAAACATTTTTTATATAGTAAGGATTTGGAACAAGATCTGTAAAACGTCTAATTACCGCATACAACGATCCTAGAAAGGACAAAAAGAAAAAACCGGATGGAAGCAGCAGCATCACAAAATTCACATAAAATGAACGTCTATTCTCGGTTATGAAAGAAATCGCGAACTACAAAAACACCAATATTGTATACAAAAGAGCTCCCACATTATATACGTTGCTAAGAAATGACAAAGAAAAAATTAATGAAAAAGAACAACCAGGAGTGTATGCAATACCGTACAAGAACGACCGATTAGGAATAGATAAAGAATATATAGGAGTCACTAATAAAAACACTAACGTGAGGATTAAAGAGCATAAGTATGACGCAGCAAAGAGCCGATATGCAACAGCGTTATCAAAAATAGCGCAAACGGATGGATCCATAGTTAAATGAGAAGAGGCCAGAATCATTGCAAACGTGCACTCGCCAACACTTGCATCCACAACAGAGAAGTGTGAGATCTATAGATCTTCTTCTTCTTCACGTGCCATGCCCGGTTCCCCGGACGTCGGCGATCACCAAGGAGAGGGAGTTCCTATCTTCGGCCGTTCTCATTACCTCCCCAATGTTTTGTATGCCTGTCCAATTTTTAATATTGTCCATCCATGATAAATGTTTTCGGCCTCGTTTACGCTTTCCCTCAATCTTTCCATTGAGGATTAGTTGTGGGATTTTGTATTTTTCTCCTCTAGTGATATGTCCGAAGTATGCAATCTTTCTGCATTTGATTGTTGACAGCAATTTTCTGTTTGTTCTTGCTCTGCTTAGAATTTCATTGTTGGTCACTCGATCCGTCCATGGGACTCTCGCATCTTTCTGTGAATCCACATCTCAAATGCCTCCATCTTCTTTCTGTATTCATTTTTAATGTCCAGCTTTCCACACCATAGAGGAGAACTGACCAAATATAACATTCGGCCATTCGTTGCCGCAATTTCAAATTTAAATTGTCGTTGCAGAGCAGGGATTTCATTTTTTTGGAAGGATGTTCTAGCTGCTGCTATCCTGCATTTAATTTCTTTCCCTGAATCTATATTTTCTGTAATTATGCTTCCCAAGTATTTAAACTGTTTGACCCGTTCAATTTTTTTTTTTGGTCAAGAACAAGTTGTGCCTCTCTGTGTGGGGTCTGACTAAAAATCATAAATTTAGTTTTGTTTGCATTTATTTTGAGACCGGCATCAATTCCTGCTGAGTTAATTTTGTTTAGTAGTACCTGTAAGCCTTCTAGGCTGTCGCATATGATTAGTGTATCATCAGCATATCTAATGACGTTAAGAATTACGCCGTTGATTTTAATCCCATAATTTGAGTTTTCTAAGGCATTTTTGAAGATTTTGTCTGAGTACAGATTAAACAATAAGGGCGAAAGAATGCAGCCCTGCCGGACTCCTCTCTGTATTTCAATTTCTGCTGTTTTCATTGTTCCTAACTTGACTTCTGCTGTTTGACCCCAGTATAAATTTTGAATTATTCTGATGTCCTTGCCATCTAATTGAACTTGGTGTAGGATCTCTATTAATTTGGAGTGTTTCACACTATCGAAAGCCTTTTCATAGTCTATGAAACAAGCAAATATGTTTTTTTGTTGTTCACGACATCTCTGGAAAAGGACGTTGATACTAAACAACGCTTCTCTTGTTCCAAAAGCATTTCTGAATCCAAATTGAGTTTCCTCGAGATCAATTTCACATTTTTTATATATCCTGGCGTGTATAATGTGTAGAAATATCTTCAGAACATGGCACATGAGACTAATGAGTCTGTAGTCGCTACAACTTTTAGGATGACTTGTTTTAGGGATTGTTACAAAAGTTGATTTTAACCAGTCTTTTAGTATTGTGCCAGTATTGTAGATCCGATTGAATAATCTAGTAATTAGTTTAATATTATCATCTTCGATCAATTTCACAATTTCAGTCGGGATTTCGTCAGGTCCGGGAGTTTTCTTATTCGATGTGAATGGCATGCTTTACTTCTTCGTCGAGTATTTCAGGAGCTTCTACTGGGTCTTTATTTATGGGTGTTGGTCTTTCCTCATCAAAAAGTTTTTCAACGTAACGTTTGCACGTGTTTTTCAGTATATTTTCATCAATAATAGGACTGTTATTAGCATACATTAGTATATTAGAGCGATGACACTTGAATGAACCCGTCATTTCTTTGATTTTCTTATGCATCTGGAACATATTATGTACTTTTTCGAGGTTTTCAATTTCGTTGCAGTTTCTGTTTATCCATTCCTCCTTGTCCTTTTTTATCTCTACCTTTATAATGTCATTGATACGTTTGTAAGTTTCTGCGTCATTTTTTGTTAATCTTCGTTTTTCCATTAAGTCCAGTATCTCTTCCGTCATCCATCTTTTCTTCTTGACTTTACAGGTTGATTTTAGGTTTTTGTGACAGACTTTGATCAAGATGTCCCTCAGATCTTCCCTTAGTGTTTGTACGTCAGAATGATTATTATCCTTCAAGTTGCCTAGCTCCTTATTCAATTCTTCTTCTACTCGTTTTCTAAATTGTGGTATTTCTATTCTCGTAATATCATAGTGTTGGCTTATGCACTTTGGTTTAATTGCCTTTAATTTTAGTTTGATGTCTGCCACCAATGGAACATGGTCAGAACCAATATCTGCTCCAGGGAATGTTGTCACCCGTGTTACGCAGTTTCTGTGACGTTTATTAATGAGTATGTAGTCTATCTGGTTTCTAATTGGTGATTGATTTTTATCAGCAGGTGATTTCCAGGTGTAGAGTCTTCTTTTTGGTAATTTGAACCAAGTGTTCGTAATTATCATATCATTTTCCTGGCAGAATTCTAAAAGTCTGTCCCCTCTCTCATTACTTAGACCCAACCCAAAGTCTCCTATCAGATCTTCCCGTCTTCCCATGCCAACTTTAGCATTGTAATCACCAATAATCATGGTGATATAATCTTTTTTTAGTTTGCCAAGTATCTTATCGACAGAGTTGTATAAGTCTTCTAGCTCGTCTTCGTTATTATTGGTAAATGTTGGGGCGTACACTTGTATTATATTAATCCTGAAAGGTTGACCATGTATTTGAAGTATCATCAGCCTATCCGATATTGGTGAATGGCCGATAACACATTGCGTATGTTTTGCAGAAACAAATATCCCCACCCCATTTCGATGGTATTGGTCTTGGTCATTGTTTCCTGAATAGTAAAGCGTTCCGTGCTCATTTTGGCATACTCCAGAACCAAGCCAGCGTAATTCACTAATGCCTAGAATATCTATTTTTAATATTTGGGTTTCTTTAATTACATTGTCAAACTTACCAGCCATAAAATGGCTTCTCACATTCCATGTGGCGATACGGATTTTTGATTTCACTATGTTGAGCCGGGAGATTCTTCGCACCCCTTGCCCATCTAGGGCAAGGGCTGCCCGGGACTAGGGGCCATTGATGTAGGTTTCCTCTCCATAGTGATATCCTGGGAATAGATTAAGGGGTGGTATTCCGTTGCCTTCCCCTGTAATGACCAGCCGCTCCTTACGTGGAGACACTTATTACTAAAAATGTTTAATTTGTTGACTTCTCTTCCAACTAAATATTGAGCAAGCCGCTACGAATATTTTATCTATACATCTAGCTTAACGGATAAATGTTTAAACTATAAGGATGCAACCATTTTACCGTCGGCATGGAAATACATAATCAGAAAGAACTCATAAGATGATACATCCATCAGGCTCAATAAAAACCCAAGTTACTATATAAAAAATGTTTACATATTGTATTGTGGAAAATTACCGTATTTTGTATTCCTTTTTATATTATTTTGTTTTTCATTATTTATTTTATTAATTTCGTTATGCTTGTTTATGTAATTTAATTTCAACATATATTCTAATATAATTTAAATTTGAACGTGTTCGAAAATGCCTTTGATTCGAACGTCTTTAACCTGATGATGGCCCATGAAATGGGTTGAAAACGTTTCTTTAGCTGAATAAATGTGCGTTCTCAGTATTAAGGTGTGTGGACGTTATAGAAAAAAATCATTATTATACAGGATGTTCCAAAAGATCGTGTGTAATGTTACACTTCAATGATAAAAATATAGAAATTTTAAAACAATGCAATAAATAATATTTGAGAATCTTTTATGTAATGATCTTGACAAAAGTAAAACGATTTTATTTTATTTTATTTTATTTACAGATCCTATTAGCGATTCCGGAAAGTAAGCTATTTTTTTTGCATTCAGAATTAGTCAATAACCGTTGTTAGAAGAAAGTTCGTTGTTCACTAAGGCACGTTATTGTAATAAATAAGGTTTTTTTGTAATAGATGTTATTAACTTTAATTCTCAAACCCAAAGCATGAGATTTACTACCCTTAGACTGTCCCATTTTGTTGTCGCTAATGAGATTTGTGAATAAAATTTTTTCTATATTTTACAAAATTATTACGTAAAAATTTTTAGATGTTACATTATCAAATATTATTTACTGCGTAGTTATGCATTATTATATTTTTTGTTATTATTTGTTATCGTGTAGTTGCACACGAACTTTTGGAACACTATGTCATGTTCCTTTTCTCTTGTAAATAAATTCATAAGTAAATTACATATTTTAATTATTGAAACAAATTTATGTTAATAACAAAATTATGATAATTTTTATTTGAAGATCTTGAAACAAAGAAAGGAAGAATTGAAAACGTCAGTCGATAATTTGACAGATTCCTCTATTGGAGAAAAGAAAAAAGAACCTCTTCTTGATACTTTGATTAAGCATCAGTTTCAAAATAAAGATTTCACCGACCAAGACATTTGTGAAGAAGTTGATACTTTCGTATTTGAAGTAAGATTTATTCATTTTTTTAAAAGTAAAGAATGTGTTTTTATGCCACGTTAGCCTAGGTCTTCTCTTTCTCTGTTTGCCCTGCACCATTCTTTGAACTGAAATTTCCATCAGTTTCCTTGAGTATCCTTTTCTTATATTCCCAGCATATGCTGCTTTTTTCTCTGAATGCTGACAGTGGTTTCTTTCCATTTCAAATATACTCATAACCTCCTCGTTGGTTATTCTATCTATTCAACTAACTCATTCTTCTAAGACATCACATCTCAAAGAAATTTATCCTATTAACCGCCTCTTAATTTATTGTCCATGACTCGCGTTCGTATGTAGCCACACTCCAAATTATTCTTTTAAGTATTTTTAGTTTTAGTTTTTTGCTTACATTTCTATTTCTTAACACAAGATATTTGTGCGAAAGGAGCTTTAACCTTTTTTATTCTGTTTTTAATTTCATAATTATATCAGTTATCCTCAGTTATCCAACTTCCTTAGTACTCAAACATTTTTACCTTTTCTATTTTCTTTCCATCCAATATAACTTGTAGATCTTTGTTATCTTTCCTCGAGAATATCATAACTTTTGTTTTGTTTCACGTTTATTTTCATTTGGTATTTTGCTTTACCCACTTCTTTCAATCTATTTTTAATTTTCTGAAACCCTTCTTCGGTGTTACATAACAGAACGATGTCGTCAGCATACTTAATGTTATTTATCAATATAAGATGTCCATTCATTTTTACACTTTTGTCTAAATTTTCGAACGTTTCTCTCATCATCCATTCACTGTAGATGTTAAAAAGTGTTGAGGAACAAACCACATCCCTGTCTTATTCCTTTTTTGATCTAATCCAATTGGTATCCTCTCCCCGAAATCTGGCAATTACTTTTTGACTTTTATAGACGTTATAAATTATTATTAGATTAAGTATATTATCAAATACTTAAAGTTATAAAGAGCGAATTTACTTCCCTTAGATGAAACTAATTTTTTGTAAGTAGGCCTATAGTATGTTTGTATGTTCTCTGTTTTAATATTAATTCCACTGTACCACACTCATTCCTACTTATTAATGTGAAACATTAATAACTTTGATAATAGAAACATAGTAGTAAAAATGTTATATTATTAACTATAAGAAATAATATTAAAAACAACTAATAAACATTATCATATACAAAAAAAATTATTAATTTTGTTGTAAATCTATACATTTTGAAACAAATTATTTATAAAAATTATATTTAAATAAATAAATAAATAAATTTCATTAAGATAATTAAGATTTAGGGGAGACCGGGACAAGATCGGCATGTTAAGCTTTACTTAAATTTTGTGTAATAAATACTGCTGTAAACTGAAAAAAAAAGCTTTGCATATTGTCTATTGGAATGTTACCTTACTATAGAACTGGTTAAAATCAGTTTGGAAATAAAAATAATTAAAATAATTACAACTTTACAAGAAGAGAGAAATTGACGAAGTTGCCCCGGGTATAGGGGCAAGATCGGCAACTTCTCTCTTTTTGTAAAGTTGTAATTATTTTAATTATTTTTATTAAAGTTGCCCCTGGTATAGGGGCAACAGTAATGGGGCAAGATAGGCACGTATATAAAATTATGTTATTAACAATGTATAAGTTGGAATTCACTATTAAAACAAAGAAATACAAATCCAACACCCATTTAATATTATTACAACGAAATGCAAGTTCAAAGACATATATACATGAATAACAAATGCAAACATGTTTTCATTTATCATCTGTTTGATTTTTATCCTTTGCTTCTAATGTGGCTTTATGTTGCCGATCTTACCCCGCTAGTCATGATTTCGAAACATTAAGTACAACCCTGAGAACAGAATGCCAAGCCACGATCTGGCCACGTGAATAAGTTGAAGTTACATCCTTCTAACAGGAAAAGTAACTTTCGTTATCATGGAATTATAACAAAACCTGCCAATTCAATATAAATGGAAAAAAAATATTATATGGAATTGAACGAAAATGAAAATTTGCTTGATAATTCAACTACGCTTGTTGGAGAACAATAAAAACACTACACTCAACAAGCCACCAATAAAACTCAACTGCCTAACCTATAACCAAAGTCTCCTTTTAATTTGTTTTTAAAAAAAAGCGCTTGACAAACTTGCCCCGCATGCCGAAGTTGCCCCGGTCTCCCCTATATTGAAAGTTTTAAACTATGCATTGAATAATTATTAACAGTTATAAGTGTTTAATGTTTTTAAACTTTATTACATTGTTATGTTAGATTAGCTTTTATTATTTATATTAACTTTCTAAAAAAATTCAAAAAGAGCAAAATTGTAAGAATTTATTTTCATATTTAGTCAAAATTAGGATTATGTTTATTTTTTCAGGGTCACGATACAACTTCAATGGGCATATGTTGGGCACTTTATCATCTAGGGCTCCATCAAGATATTCAAGAAAAAGTGTATGAAGAACTCCAAGGAATATTTGGAGACGACAAAGATAAAACATTAACTGCAGAAGACATTAGAGAAATGAAATATTTGGAATGTGTCCTAAAGGTTTGTGTTAATCATATTTAGTAAATATGCTGTATATCAGTCATGAGTAACACGCAACTCTCGGGGATTTGTCAATGTAATTTTGCAACCCCAATTAAGCTGATATTCACAACGAAGAACATTCAAACTAAACGTGATCACCGGAAAGATGAGAATAAAATACAGCATTACTAGTTAACATAGAATTTTTAGTTGCTAGTGTACTGGAAACTGTCAAATATGTTGATAGGCCTACTCAGCAGGCTTAAAAGCCTATAATTCCGAAAGAAAAAAAAATGAATTTGGCTACCAGAAGTTTACTTGTGGTGTGTAACCAGAAAAATTTGCTCGTCACTGATGTATATTATAAAATCATTAGTCTCAAATTCTATTGATACTCTTTTATGTAGGACTAGTATGCTAAAGTCGTAAAAAAAAAAAAAAAAAATTGAATTTGCGACTTAATTCGTAGGAACAGGTTCTCATTTATTATTTTCTTTTTGAAACTTTATTTTAAAACAACATATTTACACCAGGATCTATATCCATGATTTTAAAAAATTTTTGCGAATTTTAATGCATAGCATTTTTTTCGTTCTTTCTATTATATATTTTATTGGAACATTGTAAAACGCATAATAATTAAATGATGGTAGGTAATTTGGATATTACTGTAATAATAAACTATATATTATAACATACACCCATGTATCATTTAATTCCGACAGGAATCACAACGAATTTCTCCATCCGTACCATTAATTGGACGTTCGTGTACAGAAGATTTCAAAATCAGTAGGTTTCACTCAATTAAGAATATAATAATTAATTTAATATTTAAAAATACTGTATATTAATTATTCTTACAATTTATAGAAAACTATACGATTCCTCGAGGTACAACTATTATGTTATTTATTTATGCGTTACATCGCGATCCGAAAGTATTTCCCAATCCAGAAGTATTTGATCCGGACAGATTTCTCCCAGAAAATTGCATCGGAAGACATCCATATTCATTTATTCCTTTTTCTGCTGGTTCTCGCAATTGTATTGGTAAGTTTTATAAACATAAATGAAAGATTTAATTGTGTTTACGCTATTATATTTTAAATTTCATTTCAAACCGTAAACATTATTTTAATTTTTAGGTCAAAAATATGCTATGATGGAACTGAAGACAATTGTCAGCAGAGTAATTATGAATTATAAGATCGAATCAATAGATCCTCCAGAAGATATACTTTGCAGTTTCTTGCTGGTTCTTAGACCTGAAGGAAAATTAAAATTGAGATTGAAAAGAAGAAAATAATACATAAAATTATTTCTAAATAAGAAATCGCTTTAATAATGCTTTTTTTATATCTTAAATTTTATTTTGCTTTTATATAGTTTGAATTGAAATTTTTAAACTAATTTTATTTCAGCTTATTTTTAAATTAAAATTTTCTTAATTTATTTAGCATAGTTGATTAGAAGATTTTAATAATAATATCAGTTTAATAAAAATTATAAATTGGCCCAATTTGATTTATCCTGTTTATTTTTACTAAGAATGTAATTCATTATTTTTTTAAATTTTATATCTGTAATATGATAAATAAATAAAAAAAATAATGAAAATAAAAAAAAATTTTAGTATACTCGTATGTAGACATTCACATGAGCGACTTTTAGTCACGCTATAAAAAAATAAATAAATAAAATAAAAACAAAATAAAAAATAAATAAATAAAAATGTTAGTCGGCGCTTCTTGCCATTAATCTATATCTGAGCACAGGACCTATAAATTGCAACTTCGACTAAAAAATACTTGAGACTTTTTCCAATTTTCAGTATAAAAATAGATTTCGCAAAGATTGTGTGTTTTGCTTCTTTATGAGGAAATAACACAAAGGCGATAGTAACTTTAACTATTTGTAGGTTCAACTTCTAAAAGAGCAGTTTCATAAAATATATCACGATTCTAGAAATGAGAATGAACAGAATTAACAAATACGAAATAGGAAACAATAAACTCGTTTTCCCTAGATCATGTGATCCTGACGGGTAAAGGAATCCCCAGGAATTTTACGGGGGGTGGTCCGTTCGAATATGCCGGGTCCCGTCCCTCACCATCCGGTTGCCCCATTGTGGGCCTGGCCGAACCCATAATGGGCCTGCTACAAGATCCTGTTTATTTTTAGTGCCCATAGGGCGGGAAGAGTATTTAAAAAAAATTATGTAATCGTGACGACACATTAACCATCTCATTCGAAAAAAAACTCATGTGAAAGTTGCTACAAAATTACCACTCGTTTGTCTGGACGTATGACATTTTATATTCCGTTGGTTGTGACAGTCGCTAGCAATCAACACCGACTAAAATGAAACATGTCGCTCCTATGTTCGACTCTGTTGAAGTATTCCTGGTCTAATTTAAACGAATTTTTTAGCAGCAACAAAACGATATTTTAAAATGTATTATGAAATTTGTTACGTATATCGAAAAATAATAGCGAATGACGATAATACTTTGTCTGGATGACACATATGTCTTTAGTTTTTGAATAAAATGTGAATTGGGATAGATAAAGTGTTCTAGTTCCAGTATAGTAAGGTTCAATTTGTTAAGCCGTCCGTTTATTCGTTCGCCTACTTAACGGCTTGCCTCTACAGAGTTTTATGATAAAAACACTGGCAACTTATTTATTGGACTTTCCCGGCATTCTTTATTTGTTTTTATCCCTAATAATTTCTGCCATTATCGTTAAGTGTTTAGATTTACATAAAATTACTAATACGAATGATCACTGGTAAAATAAGAGTCCCCTAACTATTTTAAGAATATTATCCTCCTCACCTCTTCAACATATAAAGCTATTCCAATATAATTTCAATGAAATTATGGTTAATTACACAAAAAATATTTATCCCTAAGAATTTCATTTAAAAAATAGTTTTTTGTTTTATATTTTCATCTCGGACCTAGAGTTGGGGGCTAAGGAAATATCGATTTCTTAAAACTATTTTATTAATATATACACATTGAAAAAGTTAGAACTAAATTGGTTTATTATAGCATGTTTTATAAAAGATTAAAATCCGTTAATATTGAGAGTGGAGGGTGATTTCTGAGAAAAATTTTCGAAACAAATACATTTATACAGTATTTTGTTAAACTAAAAATTTGTACGAGATTTGTTTCCAATCCTGTTAATATCTCCCGAACCAATAATCCGTTTTACCTGAAAATTTCTAGAAACATTTCCCTCTAATACACGAATTTTTCTGCAAACTTTCAGAACTTTTCGGCAAACAGCATAGGAGTTATACAACTTCAATGGGCATATGTTGGGCACTTTATCATCTAGGGCTCCATCAAGATATTCAAGAAAAAGTGTATGAAGAACTCCAAGGAATATTTGGAGACGACAAAGATAAAACATTAACTGCAGAAGACATTAGAGAAATGAAATATTTGGAATGTGTCCTAAAGGTTTGTGTTAATCATATTTAGTAAATATGCTGTATATCAGTCATGAGTAACACGCAACTCTCGGGGATTTGTCAATGTAATTTTGCAACCCCAATTAAGCTGATATTCACAACGAAGAACATTCAAACTAAACGTGATCACCGGAAAGATGAGAATAAAATACAGCATTACTAGTTAACATAGAATTTTTAGTTGCTAGTGTACTGGAAACTGTCAAATATGTTGATAGGCCTACTCAGCAGGCTTAAAAGCCTATAATTCCGAAAGAAAAAAAAATGAATTTGGCTACCAGAAGTTTACTTGTGGTGTGTAACCAGAAAAATTTGCTCGTCACTGATGTATATTATAAAATCATTAGTCTCAAATTCTATTGATACTCTTTTATGTAGGACTAGTATGCTAAAGTCGTAAAAAAAAAAAAATTGAATTTGCGACTTAATTCGTAGGAACAGGTTCTCATTTATTATTTTCTTTTTGAAACTTTATTTTAAAACAACATATTTACACCAGGATCTATATCCATGATTTTAAAAAATTTTTGCNCTCTTCCTCGCAGCTATCACTTAGTGCACAATTGTGGTGAACTTCGCTGTATACGTTCTCGTTTCTCCGCGTTTTTTAAATGATTTATACATAAAAATATAATTTCTAAAAATAAAAGATCATCTTTAGATAAACGAGTAAATATAAAACACTCTTTCTTAAACCGATTTCGAGCGATTTATATTAGCAGGAAAATAATAAAAGAAATAACGTTGGCTGAAGTATAGTATCTTTGTTAATTATTTGTCTGCCAATATAAATCACTCGAAATCGGTTTAAGAAAGAGTGTTTTATATTTACTCGTTTATTTTATCTAAAGATAATCATTTATTTTTAGAAATTATATTTTTAGAAATTTCACCGATCCCATTGTTTTATATTTTTATTGATCTACATTCTTCTTCATTTCTTCTTTATTAACGCACACAATGGTACATGCCGGGTTCCGCAGTGAGCACTATTCGATGATAACTAATTACAATAATAAAGATACAAATAGTTAAAGGTGTTACAAAATACATAATTAATTGTAATATAAAGGTAAAATACACAGGAAAAATAGGTACACAATACAATAACATCACTGGAATGTAATTCCTTACATGTAGGCCTAAATATGTGATTACAATACACTTACAAAAGAGGTTGTACAAGATAAAAGATGTGGGGCACGAAACACAGTGGGTACAATGTAATGGTAACAGTAAACACGATTTTAGTAAACACACATTTTAAACATACAGATAGATTCTTATCACATTTTTGGTCCTACTTCTATTCCTTGTTTTCGTTCTTCACCCCACTTCACAATTTAAGTGTGTCATGGACCTATAAAAGTCAGGTCATAATTTTTAATTTTCTAGTACGTGAAGTGGACCTGCTACCACATAGATAACATGCACCAAAATAAGAATGAGGTCAATGAGATAGTTCCTCAAGATTCTGTTGTTGAGAGTTGAATTGGCGCCAGTTGCGCCCATGCTGCAAAAACACAGTTGACATTTCAAGGTCTTCCGCTAACCGTCCGCTAAGTGTTCTACAAACTTACACAAACATACATAGAGTCCATCCATAAAAGAAATAGCTACAAGCAAAATAGGATAAAGAAAATGTTCTTCAACACTAATGTATAAAGAGTGCACTGTAAACCTAGTGCTGCAGTCTAGGTCATCTGTCCGCACGTAAACCATATACTTTGGTAGAGAATAATTACTGAATAATCAGGATAAACTAAACATATGCCAGACATCATAAGGCTGATAATGTGTAACATGATGGCTGCTGGAAAACTTAAAAGATGAAGATATATATATTAGAGTTATTTGATGAGTCTGAATAGGATGGTATCGCTCGTACTCAAGAGAGTGATTGAGTACAAAGCTGACTAAAAGCCACTGATTGTAGTAGGTGCAAAGTATTTGGAGATTAAGTCGAAAAACGCTTTATATGAGTCTTTTTCACGAAAGATTGTGTCATAATCAGACCAGTTGTGGCCATGCGCGAATTAATAGTGGTAAACAGTATATGTCGCTCCAAATTAAGCAGGGGGCAATCATAAATGTAGTGCGCATTACTATCTGTAACACCGCACAGGGAGCATATTGAGCTGGTTGCGTTAAAGAATCTCGCTAGATAAGATTGAAAGCGTCCATGGCCGGTAAGAAATTGCATAACAAAACTATTAGGTCTGTACCATTTGTATGTAAAAAAGATCTTGATACAAGGTATGAATCTATGAGTAATAGGGTGGTTATGTTGGTTCCAGGTTTTTTCCAAGTTAATGCATAAAGATGCATGTCCAGCACTGCTGAACATAGCTGGACATGGGTTACAGAGAAATAGATTGAAAATAAACAATTTCACATAAATATGTAAACGCGAACAATATATAAACTTTGAACTGGATACAGTGAACAAAAGACAAGCAGTGTATACAGTGCATCAGTACAAGCGGTACATGAAATTTGCAAAGGAATAAAACGTGACAGTATAACCGTAGAATAGGCAAATATATTTATAGAAGAATTAAGCGTATATGGAGTTCCAATTAATTGTTGATACTGAGCAACAAAACATATACATTGAAGAGCATATAATATACAATGAATAAATGGTGAAAACAGAATACTAGGTATAAAGTACACAGTACTGACAAATATGCAAACAGAATGTAATAGCAATAGAGGGTCTATACAGTATATACAATCTGAATTACATATTACCTAGAAGTTGGATGACGCCTGTCTAATACAGTTGGGCGACGCTCTAGATGACACTTGGAAATTTTGACCGACGTTATAGTTGTTCTGTTTTGCAAACCTGTTCGACGAACTAGATGAGTTGTGGGATGTAA